CTCCTCCTCCTCCTCCTCCTCCTCCTCCTCCTCCTCCTCCTCCTCCCTGCAAATCCCAACACTGATGATGTTACCTAATTGGGTCATGAAACATCTGCAAGAAAATTACCAAGCTCAGAGAGTACCAAAAACCTCATAGTCCTCCTCCTTTTTCTCTCCTCTTCCTTCTCCACTCTGTATACCTCACTCCCTTCAAACACTGAAGACATTATCTAGTTGGGTCATGAGATGTCTGCAAGAAATCCGCCAAGCTCAGAGAACACCAAGGACCCCTCAGTCCTCCTCCTCCTCCTCCTTTCTGCAAACCCCTCTCCTTTCTAGCACTGATGACGTTCCCTACTTGGGTCAGGAAACGTCTGCAAGGAAACAGCCACGCTCCAAGGACCCCACAGAACCAGCAAGGGACGCCTGCATGCTAGAGGAATCCACAGCCTGGCCATGGAACCAACTGACCGTGACCTCCTGGGCCCCTTCCTGGACCCTCCGCTTGCCTTTTAAGACAAGACCTATTTTTCTTGGGGTCCAGACTGAGGTTTCCACACGCCACAGAAACGGGACCACAGCACCCCATGCTGACCCCATGCCCCGCCCTGCCCCGTGTCCGGCCTCCCATTTACCTTGTGCCTCTTCTCTTCCTCTTCCTGCACCTTCATCTGTAGCTTGCGCAGCATCACCTGTCGCTTCCACTCTGGGATGGGCTTCCCCTGCTCATCGTGGGTGGGGATCAGGGCCTCCAGGTCCCGGTGGCCAGTTGGGCTCCCGAAGGGCGTCATGGAACCGTTGACCTCCAGCTTGGGCGAGCCGGAAGCTCTGAACCCGGAAGCTTCCTCGGGGGTGGAAGGGGGCGTCGGCGTCCCCCCGGGGGAGGAGGAACCTGTAGGGGACTCAACCTGTGGGGAAAACCAAGGCGAAGGTGGGAGGCGTCGCCAAAAGACACGAACCACCCTAGCTTTTATCTTTAAAAGCAGTCCTCGCTTAGTTACTGAAGTTAGGACGGACCTGCCTCTGGGGAACTTATGACATGGGTTGGAAGTTCTGATAGCTGCCCCCATTCCTCTTTGGGTGGTTAACAAAGTGGCTTTCTTTCCTTCTTTCTTTCTTATTTTCTTTCTTTCTTTCCTTCCTTCCTTCCTTCTTTTTTCCTTTTCTTTTCTTTCTTT